GCCGGAGGGCCCCGCGGGCCGGGAAGCGCCCCGATCGCCTTCGGCCGCGCTCCCGAGCGTCGGGCTTCATTGGGAAACACCTGCGAGGGGCGGCCCAGCTCCGGGAGCCCGCGCGCTTCCTGGCCGAGTTACCTGTGCGGGGGCAACGGGGGGCCGGGGGTCTGTGGTGCCGCCCGCCGCGGGCCGGGGGTGTGGGAAACTCCGGGGCGCCCCGCCGCCGCCGGCTGCCTCCGTGCTGAGCAGTCGGACTCCAGAGGTATCTTCATTTTCGGCCCCGGTGACGGACAGCAGTTCTGCAGGCCACCGTGCTCAGATGTCAGGGCTGGTGGCGAGGGTGGGCGCTGCAGGAACTGTAAGGAAAGTGCCCTCCTTCTCTAGCTCCAGCAGAGGTGGCCATTGCCAGGGCCGCGTGTATTTCTCATGGAGCACTTTCCCCAAAGATCATTTCTCTCCCTCCCTGGAGGGGTCAGCCTGACAGGCTGGTACAGGGCACCTGAATGAATGGGGCACTGAATGCTTTGTTCTTGCTTTGCTTTTGGTCAGAGGTCATGGGTTGCATAAATGAGTAGGGACCCCCAGGAGCTCAGGTGAAGCATCATCTGTCCCGGAGGGTGGCTGCCTGTGCAGGCCACTGCACGCCGGTCACACCGGTGGCTGGGAAGGCTTAACCTTAACTGGTACTCCCCTGTGGATAACTTGCTGCCAATAATTGGATGTTCACTGTAAAAAGGCTTGCCAGCCTGCAGAAGGCAAAGTGAAGATGTCTGCAGAAAGCACTCACTGGTGGTCTTAGTGGCAGTACTGGGGGAGAGGAGTGTCCACACCAGGCGCAGGCGGTTTCCCTTGGCCCCAGAGAGGCAGTCACTGGAGGGTTTGGCGGGTGTGATTAAACCAGCTGGCTGCAGGGGAGTGCATCTCGGAGAGAATTTTCTGTATGCCTTTTATGCCACACAACAAACACTGTTGCTTGTCTGCTTAGAATTTGATCATCGCCCAGGGAAGACAAAAATCCAGTAGAGAGGGCCTGTCCTTCCCCCACATACGTCCCCTCGCCCACTTTTTCAACACCAGTGAGAAGTAACAGATGTGACCATCACTCGAGCATATTACCAGACAAGACCGTGATGTCCGCAGAGCATCGTGTCCACGAGTTTCAGAGGCTTTTCAGAGAGAACAGAGAGAGTAGAGAAGTGGTGGAAGAATTTTCAGGAGCCTGCACGTGCTTTTAAGACTTTGCTTGCGGAGTTTGTTTGTGGGAGGTAATCCCTAACTAAAGCCAGTGATCACACCCGGTATCTATCTCAACCATCTATCTCAACCGATGGATGGCAAACAAAGGTCTGCGTTATTGATGATGATTCCTTCAATTTCAGAAACTCATTTGGTTCTTTTGAGTGGGCCTCTTTCCCAGGGATTCAGAATCTAGAAGGTGCTTAGTCTTTCAGGGCCTGTGCCCACAGGTGTGTAGTGTAAAAAGTTGTCTCAGGCATCCTCTTCCAGCCTTTCCCAGCCTTCCCAATCTTACCGTGTGGCACTGGGTGTTTATTGCAGTGTAGACCAGGAAGAAGGAAAGAATTCTGCAGACTGAAAGCCAGAAGGTGAGATTTAGTGACCCTCAGTCCTGGCCTGACCTCACCTCTGTAGTGCTTTGTGCCTGTTGGGAGTTTGCCCCTGTCCTGTAGACTCACCTGTCTGGATTCAGATCACCTTGAGGAAGGCAAGGCTTTGTCAGTGAGGAGCATCCTGCCCGCCCTCCTGGGCAGGGTGGTTTCGAGGGAGCCAGGGAGACTGGTTTGGTGGGTTCCTCTTTCCTATCGATAGCAGGGGTGGTTTGCTCCCCGCTCCACCTCGCTGGGATGGCCTCTGCTTTGACCGAAGTCTGCACTGCTCTGCCCTGTGTGCTGGGGAATAAAAGTGCTGGGATCAGTTGTTTAAAAATATATCTTGTTCTGAGCAGTTAGGAAAGTTATGAAGGGTGCTGGGGAAAGCTGGGGTGGGGGAGATGTTGGCAGTGGTTGGGGTTAGAGCCACGTGCTCCCTGTGAGGCCGAACGAGCCGGCCCATGTTGGGAGGCAGGTAGGACTGTGGATGTGGCGGTGTTTCGGGTTTGGCCTGGACTGAGTTTGCTTGGCACTTTGTTTATTCATGGTGAAGTCCCAGGCGGTGCGGGCCTTGCAGAGGCCTCTGCCCTCAGTGCTGGGAGAGGTGCTAATCTGGTCTGTGTTAGGCCCTGCTGCACCCACAGGAGGTTTTCCTGAGGCCTGGCTTTGTGGCACAGCCGCCAGCAGCTGGGTTGGCCCCTGCTGAGGCAGGGACCAGACACAGGGCTCTGTTTGCCTCTTACAGTCCTCAGGCCACTGCTCTTGGGACCCCGAGCTGCAGCGAGTTTGGGAAGAGATTGTTGGGGGGGCTGCAGGGGTGAGTTTCTTGTTTTAAACTGGTAGGACTGGATGGCACCGAGGCAAGCTCAGAGAGCTGGGGCGCTCTTGCACGCATGCACCCATCAGGTGCGCTCTCCTGGCTAACGCGTCTTTTCAGAGAGCGCGCTAACGAGACAAAGATAAAACGATGTGAGAATATTGATTTTCCTCTCACATGAGCATCAGTTGGTAAAAGAACGCTTGCTTTTGCGAAGCTACAGAATGAACATCGACTTGGGAGAGCTGGGGAAAGTACAGAAGAAATTAGGACAAACCTAGAGACAACTCGCTCCAGGGTCGCGCGCCGGCCTTCTGATGGGCCAGGAGGCCCCCAGAGCCGCCCGAGCCTGGTCTTTTGAGGCTGCAGATGTCGATGACCTGTCATCAAGTAAAGGATAGCAAATGTGGGTGGAAGCATGTTCTTTCCTCCTCTTTTTTGTGAAATCCCTTTTGGGGAGAGGAGGAACAAACCGGGGAAAGCTAGTGAGGCAGACGGAGGCCGAGTGCCAGCTGAGGGAGGGCCTGGCCCGACGTTGAAGGTGAACTTTGCTTTTTGATGGTTGTGACCGCTCGGACCTTGTTCACATTCTTGGTGCCTCAGTTTCTGCATCTGGGAGGTGAGGTCAGGCACAGCCTGTGAGGTTGTCATGAAGTAAAGACACGTGTGGGAATGTGGGTGCAGGCCTGGGGGCCGAGGGGTGTGCGGGGAGGGCTGCTGGCCTGGAGGTGAGACCTGGGCACCCGGGCCAGGCTGTAAGTCCTCTGGGGCACTGGAGCGTGGCAGGCAGGACAGGTGGGGAGAGTTGATTTTGGGTGGCATGCAAAACTGCCCCGCAGTGAGTGTAGCCTGATGATACCCTGGGCTGGGAGGAGGGCCTGACCAGCCTCACCCGCAGCCAGCTTCAGTCCAAGCTGGATTCCTGCGATCCTGGGCTCCATGTGCCCTGATGGGCGCGTAAGGAGCCACGGAGATGGGTAGTAGAGGAGGTGCTGGTGGCCGCTGCCGAAGCTCGCTCAGCTTTCTCCGCAGAGGGCCCCTGCTCGGCACACACCACCGGCAGGAGCAGCTAGCTGTGAGGTTGACAGACTGCCAGTCCGGTCGGAGCAGGGAAACCAGGTCACCAAACCTACAGGTTTGGGAGTCGGTCTTGAATTCTTCCACGTCCTGTCACCCAGCCCTTGGGTTTTCCAGTCACCACCCTACGGAGGCCCCTGTTGCCTCATGCTGGGACTTGGCAATCACCTTCTACTGGTCTCTGCTTCCATGCACCCTGACCCCACACAGCGCCGGGCAGGTCAGCTCGGCCCTAGCCAGGACTGGGCAGGGAGCGGTGCTGCCGGTGCTGGGCCCCTGGCGCCTCGAGAAGGCCTCCTTGTGCTGCAGGTTCCAGCACGCACGCACGCGCACTGCGGGTGCAGCCTGGGCTTGGCCTCAGACCCAGCAGAGCTGGTGGTGGTTTCTCCCGGGGTGTGACGGCCCGCACGCCTGGGCGTGGTGGTTCAGACCAGTGCAGGCCCCTTTGCTCTGCGCCTGCCTTCCCCTGGGTCATGCGCTTGGGCAGCGCAGCTCGCAGGCCCCTTTTTGTTCAGTTTATTTGTGGGAGATCCTGAGTCTAAAACAGAAATTAGAAGGCTAAATGGCAGGACAGGAGGTGACTGATGGCGAGGGGGTGTGTGAAAGCAGAGGTGCCAGCCATAGACCGGCGCTGCTCTGGTAGCTGCTGATTCGCTTTATTACCACCAAGGCCAGTCGCTTCTACTGGCCATTTTTGATCCTATTGGAGGGAAAGGCTTGTTTTCCAGACAAGGACTGGGCAGATCTTCCTAAGTGACTGAAGGTTTTGTTTGATTGTTTCTAAATTTCTTTTTTGTTAGTTTCTGGGTTTTCGGGTGAGTGACGTAAGCTGGGTACTGCTGTTGGATTTCCAAGGCAAGGACGCGTTTCTCTGGCCACTGAGAGTCCGCACCAGGCATTTCTTGACTTGCGCTGTGACGGACCAGAACTTTAAATGGCACCTGCTTCACGCACTCTTGTTTTGAACTACTTTGGACTTAGGAAAGTTGGAGGACGAGCGGGATTGGGATTCCAGAGTCGTGCGTGGGCAGGAAGTCAGTTAGGCCGTTTTCTCGAGTAAGTCAGCACATGCCTTGGCTCGCGAGAAGCCAGACGTGTTGCAATTCTCTAAGAGCAGCAGGCCTCCTTGAGGGTTCATAATATCCACTGGAAGTTGGGGATGGGGACACAAGCTGTACCTAGGGAAGCCTCTGGCCTGGGCCAGGCAGGATGATCCAGACCGGAAGCAAAACCGCCCTGGGCATGGGCTGGTGGGGCCTTTCACCCAGGAGCTTCAGCTCAGTCATTTGAAGTGTGGGTTCGTATCGTGTCTGAGATGCAAGATGGGGGGGCCTGCCTGCTTCATTTGGGTGATGAGAATCTAAAAGTTGCTGAGGAGAGGGGGCTTCCCTGGTGACCAGCCACAATGATGCTAAGGTTTTGCCTGCCAGGCAAAGAGTATGCCAAGCTGGAAACCTTGACTTCAGGTCCCTGCCAACGACAACATGAAGGGGCCTTCCTTCCGTCCTGAGCGGGGCACGAGCCCCAGTTCATGCAGGGAAGGCCGGGAAGTGGAGAGCAGCGGGATTGCGAGCTCAGCCCCAGGGCGGCCACAGTGCAGTGGTGGCCGCTGCCCTGGGCTGGAGCCACCACCGACGGAGGGACCTTGTGGCACCGTGGCTGTGAAGGCCGAGCGAACTTGCGGCCATTTGCCTGAGGTTGCAAGTACATTTCATCAATATGACTTTAGGGAATAAATTATATTTCAAGGCTCTTAATTGCAGCTTTACACAAGCACAGGTAACGCTGCTCAGCGCCCTCACGTGGTGCTTGGTCCTGTTCCTCTTTAAATTGTGTGAGGGTTGTTTGAAGCGCCTGCTTCTGACTTGCAGATAGGAGGAGATCATCTTGGAGGACAGCCCCATCAGTCAGCCCAAGAGCCGTGTGAGGGGTAAAGACACCCCTCGTGCCACAGACTGGGCTACGCGCGACTGGCCCGCTGAACATTCTCCCCAAAGGTCCTCAGCCCCTTGTCTCTGTGGGGGAGGACGCAGTGTGAACGTGGGCTGATGTGGAGGGTGGGGGTCCCTCAAAAATGAGGGCATGGTATTGGCAAGAGGGGCATCTCCTGACTGGTGTGGCCCAGGCTGCTGGTGCTGGTAGGAGGAGACAGCTTGTCTCCAACCTCAGACCCACCTTTTGTCAGAAAGCCACTCACCTTTGGGGGTGGGGGGGACAGGAGGCGATGAAGATGATGTGTGTCAAAGGAGATGGGGGTACCTGGACCAGGCGGCAGTTTTTAAGCTCAAAGTTCAAAATCCCTTCCTTGGACAACATGTGGCCTGGCAGGCGCCGGCCGCTCCCCCACCCCCCACGCCAGCCGGCGTCCCGACCCACCCTGGTGGACCCTTGACTCAGAGCTCCTTCTGCTGCCTGGGAAAAGCACGGGATGTCCCGGAAAGCAAAATTCAGTGAGTACAGGCCTTAGAAACCGGCCAGTCTGCAGGCAGGTGCCGCAGAGCAGGGCGCATCTCTTTCACGAGCAGGCCACTGAGGGCGATACTTCTGTGGAAGTTTAGCAAACAGATTCGCTAGGAAACGAAATAAAAGCCGAGCTAAACCCCAGTTTATCGTTAGTCAGAAAATGTGATAGGCAGCGAGCCACTCCTGCGTGGGGCTCACACCAGGGGGCTGTCTCGCTCGGATTGGCACCCTCCACAGGGCGGCTGAACAGGACTTAGATGACACGGCGCCCATGTACAGAGCCCTGCAGGCCTGTGCTTGTGAACCGCACACGGGACTAGTTGCTAAAGTTGCAGGTGATCTTGCTTTTGGGTTGCGGCACGGCCTTCCTGTTACACAAAGGGTGATGTTTATCCAAGCTGTTTCTGTATTTGTTCTGCTAATACTCAGAGGCTTGCTGTGAAGAATGCTAGATTTGGAAAGTGATTTCCCTAAATTATCTGTAAGCGGCTTCAAACGAATGTCCTATCACTTATGGCTAAGTTGTCTTTCATGGAAAGAAATGGACTCTGGATGGTCTACTTCTGAGTGGCGGTCAGCAAAGTCGTCCTGACCACTCAGCATGTAACCTGTTCCCCATGTCAGGCCACACCAGTCTGACACACCAGGCTGCTTGGATGCTGAGGAGAGTGGGCTGTAAGTTCCCAGGCCTGCTTCACACCAGTGACCTGCAGAGGGGCACCTGTCTGCACCTGTTTTGAGCCCCGCCCCCTTGGCGCTGAGTCTGGAGTCCACGTGGCTGGGGATGGGCCTGACTCCACTGCGCCGGCCACGGCCGTAGAGCTCTCTCTCAGCTTTGAGCAGGGCTTTTGTTCCTCTCCAGACATCCACACACCTTCCCGGCTGGGCAGGTAGAGGGCTGGGGCCCGCAAGTCACATACTGCCCTTGAGGGCGCCGCATGCAGGGCTCCTGCTAGAGGAGGGGCTAGCCTCAGGCTTCCTAGAGTGAAGGCGCCAGGGTCTGCAGTGCGGGGCTGGAGGCCTAGCCTGGGCCTGCAGCTGTAACCTGACACAGACAGAAGGAGCCCTCCATCGGGAGAGTCGGCTCCCCAGAGGCACCCGGGCAGGCTTAGTGGGCTCACCGAGTCCTTGCCAGGAAGGAAGGGAGGTGAGAGGGTGCGACGGTAGCTGGGGGAGAGTGAGGCAGAAGCGGACACAGATCCTTGGAGGGACTCTGCTGCTGGCACCTTGAGCGTGGCCCAGCGAGACCTCAGACTCAGAACTGTGAAAGAATAAAGCGCTGTGCAAGTCACTGCCTTGCTGGCAGTTTGTTCCATGGCGGTGGGAAACAAACAGCCAAGAAGGCGGGTAGGAGTTAGCGATGGGTGCGCAGCCAATGCCTTGGACCTGGGGAGGGTTGCCCTGCGGCTGTGCGTGGTGGCTTCTCGCCCTCATGGAGGACCCCCGCTCTGCCAGGCGTGCCCTGGAGGGCTGACCCAGGCCAGCCTCCCCGCAGCCCGCTGCGCCCTTCCTCAGCAGTGAAACGCCCGCCTGGGCCAGCAGCAGAGGCTCTGTGGCCGCCTCCTGCGAGTTTACACTGTAGCCGGTGACCCCACTGGCCAGGAAGGTAGCACCTGCAGCCGTCAGGTGGAGCGCCCTCCTGTCTTTGCCCACGCTCCTCCCTGCCTGCCCACCATGGTGAGCTGGGGCCGCCTTCCTAGCCTGGGTGTCTCGGTGTGGTTCACCACAGGCCGTGACTATAGAAAGCACATCAGGCTGCAGGGTGGGCGGGGCCACCTGTGCCTTCAGCAGGTGCAAGTGTCAGTAGAGAAGGCATAACACAAAACTCTTAGAAGTTGGCGCCTCCCTCCTTTGAGAATCAGGCCTAGTAGGACCCTGGGCCTGAAGGAATCGTCCCTGAAGCGAACCTTCGGTCCTGGGTATGTGGAGAGAGGCTCCCGGGACTCAGGGCGAGAGGACCTAATCCGTGCAGGCCTCAGATCAGGCCACCCCACGCAGCACCCACAGCGAGCTCCTCCAGCCCCGGGGAGGCCGGGCGTGGTTTCTCCCCCGTGTCGCCCCGACAGCTGTGCTGTCTCCTCGTTTCCTAAGACAGCAGTTTTCACAAGGTGGAAGGGAAACTGGGCTAGAGGTGCTGGAGCCTCAGGACTCCCACGCCGGGCAGGGCGGGGAGAGGAGGCCGCGCTCCTCGTTCCAGCGGGCCAGGCCTCTGGCTGTTGCGGCATCTTTTGCATGCTCTCCTTTCGGGTCATCCCTGAGCACGGTTTTTAGAATCCGCTGCCGTCACGGGAGACCCTGGGAAGCAGACTCAGTTGGTGGCGCGTCAGTACGGGAGCCCAGCCCGCGGTGCCTCGGCACACACCTGCCGGTCGCCAGCTACAGAGCGCGCCCGTGAACGTGGCCTTTCCCAGCGCCTGCTGTGCCCCCAGAACAGGGCCCCACTGCCCCTCACCCGTGCCAGCATGGACTGCGCCTTTCTTTCTCTTTTTAAAAAGCACATTTATTTATGCACATGAGAACTGCGGTACAGGCCAGAGGGGCAGAGGACTCACCAGAGACAGTGGGGAGCAGAACAGGCAGACTCTCTGAAACACACTGCTGTGGGAGACGGGCCTGCTGCGCCCCATGGGTCACTCCCTGACAGGAGTTAGAGCTTCATAGAGTGCGCTTTAACCCGTTGCACCCCCAGGGAGGCCCTAGAGGGCTGCACCTCTGTTATCGCTCAAAAGCTCACCTTTGGGACGTGAGGCGGTGACTGCAGGTGCACACAGCGGGTCTGGGAGAGCTGCTGACAGGGCTGTGTCTGAGGAGATGAAATAAGAGATGGTCAACTGCCTCAGGAGCGTGGTTAGGAGTGAGACTATCTGCAGAACAAATGCCCACACCAGAAACACAAACTCTGCTGGGGAGGTGGAAGGTCCCCCCCCCCCATGCTTACTGGCTGGAGAAGACACAGGTGAGGCCAGCTGTGGGCTTCCGAGGGGCAGGGTGGCGGGCTCCGAGGGTGGCGCTGGCACACAGAGGCCGGCACCCCTGGCCGGACCGTGGGCCTGTGGTCTCCTGCAGTGCTGGGGGCCAGTAGGGATAGGGATGTTCAGGTCCTGGTCATGCCAAGCTGTTAAAATTCCCTGGGGTTGTTCTAAAGTTGGGGGCATGAATCACCTGTGGGGCTTGGGGAGAGGGAGAATCAGTACTACAAATGGGACTTTTCTGTCTGTCGGCCAGTATTTCCTTGGGAGCTAGAGGCTATTTAAAATCTGGTGTTTTAAAAAAATTAAGCCATAATTTTTTTTTAAGATTTATTTGTGCATACAGAACTGGGGCATAGGCCAGAGGCTCAGGGGCGGCGAGAGGCTTCACTAGAGACAGAGTGGGGAGCAGAACAGGCAGATCAAAGTACACTGCTGAGGGGAGCAGCGGGCGGGTCAGGAGAGGTCTGCCGCGCCATGTGGTCACCTCCGGGGCAGGCGGGAATCAAACTCATGCAGAAGCGGCTTTAGTTTCTCGGTGCTGCGCTTTAACCCGCTGAGCCACCAGGGAGGGCCAAGCCATAATTTTTTAAGTCATTTTGTTTTGTGCCCTTAATATCAAAGGGCACTTGATTATATCATTTTATCCTAAAACCAAAAGTGCCTGCCCTGTCCCTCTGCTGGTGGAGAACCAGGGCTGGGGGTGGGAGGCGTGATCTTGGGACACAGCTGTCCACTGTAGTCGCCACGGGCCACACGTGGCTGGATGGGGCTAGTCAGAATTAACTAAAGACAGATACTCAGTTCTCCAGTCTCACCGCCAGTGTGTCTGCTCACCCACGTGTGGCTAATTGCATTTTGATCAAAAGTAGCCCCTCAGCCACGCCAGTTGCATCTCAGGGGCTCCACAGACACTCGAGGCGCTGGCTTCGTCTGGGCCAGGCAGCCATAGAGCACCTGTGTCACGGCGAGATGGTGGCCAGGCGCTCGTACCCAGCCAGTTGGCAAGCTGAGCTCTAGCGTTGCCTTTCAGGCTGATTCAGCCTTAGACTAGAATAAGGGAAAGCAGGCATTTGTAGAGAGAGGCTGTCTGGTGGGGGCCGCTCAGGGCAATCTCCTGGCAATGGGTGGGAGTCTTGTGCGAGAACAAGCCTCTGCCAAAAGAAAGGTCCACAGTACTGCCCATTCAGGGAGGGAACAGTCACCGCGGGGCAGAAAGTGAGGTGGCAGAGCCCCAGGGGCGAGTCCCCGCCAGTGAGAGTGTGCCGAGGTAGCCTGGGGCCAGGGGCTTTCAGAGGACCGAGGATGCCCTGGGGGTTTGTGGAGAGGCTGGGGGTGGGGTGGCTGCTGGCAGTAGCAGCACCTGGCCCCACCCACTGTGTGGTCTCTGCTTCTCCAGCCCTGAGACCTGGAGGGTCTGGCCCAGCAGGGGCTTGCCTGCCGCCCCACAGCCACAGGCAGGCACTTCTGTCAAGGCTCAGTTTCCGTGAGGCCTCCTGTCAGTCTGATGACTGCCATAGGAATCTCCATGATTTCCACACGAGCCGAGTCACTGAGCCATGGCTCCCCCACTTCACAGCCACCGGGTTAAGTGCACAGCTCAGTGGGTCCGTGTTCAGGGTTGCAGAACCTGCTTTCCCGGGACTCGTTCCTCTCCAGGATCCTGGACATGGTGGAAGCCTACCGTGGGCGACTTCTGTGTTTCCTGCTTTCACTCAGCAGATGTCCTCAGGCTTATGCCTTTGTGGGGACACCCTACACACCTTTGTGTCAAAGGATAAGAGTCCCCCTAGGGGACCTCACCTGGATTCTTACTGGATTGAAGCAAGGCACAGTTCTCACAGTTCTAGTCTGCAGTAGGTTTTCAAGGGGGCTGGGAACTTTTTTGTGGTTCATGAATGTTTTCTGCTGCAGCAGCGAGTGAACTGGTGGTCCAGAGCAGGTTGATTGGGTCAACCGAGGGGGGTGCGGGGGCTTGCGTGCAGGGGTGGGCTGGGGCTGGGTGTCCATGCAGGTGGGCTGCAGAGAGGCGGAATGGGGAAGGCAGGGCTGAGCGGGAACGGCAGTCACGGGGGCCTTCCGATCCCGGCCCAGCCCGTCCTGGACCCCGCACATGGAGCCGGCTGGTCAGAAGCATGGACTCCGGGGCCGGTCAAATGACTGGGAGTCTCGGCACCCCACGAGTCCAGAGCGCGCGTGGAGGGGCGGCCCCGCACCCACCCTGTCAGATATTGGCCTGTGGGACCCAGCCCGGTACGGAGGTGTCTGCACGGGCGTCTGTCAGGATGAGCGGCACAGCCGGAGCCCACCCTCGCCCCACGGTGCCGGCGCCCGCTGCTGCTGCTCCGCGGCCGGAATTTGTGACCCGGGTTATTTTGCTGTCTAAGCCTTCGTCTTGTTCAACATCCCGCTTACTAATATTTGCTCTGCTTATGCCCCCACCCCCATTTCTCCATTTTCACGGTGTGTGGGGAACAGTTGGTGCTCTGGGAGGTCGGTCTGGGTTTGAGTGTGGCTAGGAACAGCCTTCCTTGCTCACGCGCTTGGCTGGCAGAGCGCACGGAGCCAGAGTCTCTGGATGTTTTCAGTTTGCTTCTGATCTTGCGTTTTCCTGGTTCCTTGACATCTCAAACCCCCGCCCTGAGAAAACACTTGTTTTCATGTAGGCATTTGTTCCCTGTCTTGTACAGAACCACCCAGAGTTGTCAGGACAAGAGGGCTCAGACCCTGTGAAGAGCCTGCAATTTTTAATCCATTTCCCAAATTGCTGAAAGATCTGAACCCATACACCAGAAAATCTTTCGTCAGCACTCATTTCTCTGCCCTGCCCCCAAAAGAGGGGTTTGAATCCACCCTTCTATCTTGTTTTTAAATTCATAGTAACATTGGTTTTAATACACGGCCTGTAGTTGTGGGTTTAACACAGATTTCCAGAGTCCACCTCGTCAGGAGGCGGCGTGGTTCTCCCACGGCCCCGCGGTGGTCCTTCGTGCGCCGGCCCGGCAGTACTGAGCTGGGCCGCCCCTCACGCCACTGGGCAAAACTCGCCTCCGGCGTGCAGCCCTGGTCCTGCCGGAGGCTCCCTGGAGAAACAAGGTTGCACCCCACAGCACGATCCTGGTCCCAGAATCCTCGCTGGCTTCTGACAGTCACGGGTGCTCATTTATCACGCAGCCCGTTTATGCCAGTCGGGGGCCATGGGTGCCCGGGGCAGGGAGGCCCACGGTGGGCCCAGGAAGCAAGCGCCTGGCGCAGACCACAAGCACCTGCCTTGTAACGGAACAGCTGTACTTGAGGGCCTGCTGGATGCACCCCCACTCCCCAGATGTACTTTCTCTTTCTGAGCTTTCAGTGGCCCACCCACCCACCGCCAGCCGGGGCTGAAAACCCTCGGCACAAGGCGGGATTTGGAGTGCGTGTGGTTCACCTAACTCACAGCGCTGCAGTCTGCTTCTGTGCTTGCTGACCTCTTACTGCATCTCATTCATGAATGGAAAGCTTATCATAAGTCTGTAGAGGAAGAAACAAAGTGTCTGCCGCCTGGGTCTTGGGTGACTACCGCTTGGCCTGTGTCCTCCAACAGGGGCTGCAGCTCCCTGTCTGCCTGTCTCTGGCTGCTGCCCGGCCCGCTCAAGGCAGGGCCGAGTCCGCCCGACGCTGTCCCCGTCACTGCCGGCTGTGAGCATGTGCAGGCCTCCTTCCTCTCCTGCCGAGGCTGCAGTGGGCAGCGCCCAGTCCGGACTCATGGGCACTTTCCCTGTGAGCAGGAGTCTTGACTTCTGTGGAGCTGGGTCAGCTGGTCGTGCAAGCTTAGCTTGGGGAGCGCTGCTGGCCGCCTCGGAGGGGCCTCGCCGTGGCCTCGCCGTCTCCATGGCTGCCGGCGGGGTGGCCTGTCGCCATGTCCTCGCTGGACCGCTGGATATTTTGTCCGAAACTTGAGTTTTAGTCATCCGAATAGGTGGGTGGGGCGTCTTGCTGTGGCCTTCACCGTGCGTCTGAGCGCTGGCAGCGTCTCCGCCGAAGCCTGTCTGCGTCCCTCTGCCACGCTGTCCAGATTGGGTGGTTAGTGCTGTCCGGTTTTGGGAATTTCTGTGTTTGGGTACAGCCCTTTATAATTTGCAAATCTATAGCTTAGCTGTTCATTCTCTGGTGTTTTCTGAAGGAAAAACCGAGCTCCTGAATTCCACTTTATCAGAATTTTCTTTTACAGAGCTTGCTTTTGGTGTTCTGTGAAAACTATAAACAGCTTGGTCTTCGGGCTTGGTGATTCTGTCTGGTTTTATTCAAAGGAGCCCATTTGAAAGTGGTTATGTCGGGCTTTTTTTTTTTTTTAAAGCTTTAGCTAGTCTAATATCATTTGTTTTAAAACTCTCCTCTCCCTCATGATTTCACCCAGTAGACCTTGTCTCCAAAAAGAAAAAAGATTTTAAGAAAAACCCAGACATTCTGCAGAGGTGGGTGGCAATTGCCAAGGTGTGAACTGACCCTAGGCGCAGGTGGCCTCAGGGTCTCCTGCTCCAGGTGTGCTGTCTGAGGCCACAGGACTTTGAGGTGTTGACAGGCCATTGCCAGTATTCAGGTGCACCGTGGTTTGCTTTGTATGCGGGTGTGTTTTTACTCTATGAAGGTCGTAACGTGCTCAGGGAATAGTCTAACAATACTGACATAGCATGGCGTGGCAGAGAGCCCGTCTTCGCCCGCCAGCCGCCAGCTCAGTCTGTGGAGGGCGGTGTCTCAGGCCGCAGGCAGCCCTGGCTTGCAGCTCAGCCCCAGAACCCGGCCTCTGGCCCCGCCCTGCCTGCATGCTGTCTCTCCTGCTGCATTGATGGGGCTG